ATTTAAATTTAAGAAAAAAAGCCTATAATAAAATTTTCAGGATAACTACAGCTCTTATTTTCGTTCACACTCACTTGGGTTATCTTTTACATCCCTGTTATCCCTTTCTCAAAAGAAAAAGAGCTTTAAAGCATTAATTCATTTGGATTTATTATGTTGATCCTCAATTCATTCCACTATCGTATTTGTTTAACGTCATTGCATTGGGTTATAAATATTTCATTTAAACTCATTATATTTATCCTCATTCCATAATACATATTATTTATCCTTACTCCATCACCATATTTACTCATCCTCACTCCATCATCAAAACTTTATTATAAACAACTAAAGGGAACAATTTGAAAAATGATCTATATGGGTTTAAATATATAGAAAAAGGGCCTATGAATAAAAGTGCACCTTTTTTCTAATTGATTAAGGGTCTTGGGATATTTGGGATTAAGCATTTTTGGATTTGAATAATAAATAACCTCCTGAGAAATCCAAATTCATGAGCTTACATTTGGTATCAGAGCAGTCTCAAGTCTAATTCTATTGGTTGAATAAGAGAATCACATTATATGTTGATTGACATCTGGTTAGTCTAATTTGATTCAGCTAGACTTGACCTGAGGGGTAGGGTGTCAAGAGAGCAGGGCTCTCAGGAGAGTTGTAGCTTTCAACTTTTATTCACGAGAGCATGAATTTGCAGGAAAGCGTGGTGGATTATAAACAAATTTAAAAGATTATCCATAAAGTTCAAATATAAAAGGAAAAGGCTTATGAATGCATTTTTTTTTTCAAACGGTTAAGGGTCTTGGGATAGTTGGAGTTAAACATCCTTGGATTTAAATAGTACTAAGCTCTGATGATCTCCCGAGAAGTCTAAATGTAGGAACTTACACTTATATAAAAAAATAATGTATTTTTCTCAAATTACATAGTATTTGCAATTTTAAAAATAGAAGATATGGACAATTAATAGTAACATTTTTATAAAAAAAATTAAAGAAAATATTATGGAGAAATAATTTTAATTAAAATAATGTTTTTTTAATTTCTTATTTTTATATAAAACTATAAAACTAAAAAACATTAATGTATTCTACATTATTAATAACAAGCATATTCATTGCATTGCTTTAAAGTCAGTCAAGGATGGATTGTCCTCACCTGCCTCTCCTTATTTCCAATGCACTCTTCTTCTTGTGGCTCAATCCTCTACGTGCCACTGGTTCCAAGCAGCCACTCCAGCGTTGCAATGTTCTAGCTCTACACAACGAGGAAGGGGATCACACGAGCACTGTCCAAGGTAGGAGACAATCACAGCCCCTCCACCCTCTTCTGGGTGATGCTTGTTGAGGCTAAGAGAACAATCAAGACCGCCAATCATATTGCTAGATCTAGCCTTGGAACATTTAAAATTGCTAAATTATATGTACACCTGTGAGATAAAAAATTTACGATGCAAAAGCTTATTACCCATTAGCAAGATCATCGTCAAGAGCGTCCTGACCGACTTGGACCTCACCACACACCCCGTCTTCTTCCGGAAACGCATCCAAATGAACCGTGGCTCCACTCTTTCGCTGCTGGGGCAGGCTCTTGTAGTTGAAGACTTTCTCTAGAACGTCCTTGAGGCTCGAGCAAAGAATAAGCTCCATCCCGTCCACCTTGACTCCTTTGGCACCCTGTGGGACGATGCATTTCTTGAAACCCAGCTTGGATGCCTCAAACAGTCGCCTTTCGAGTTGAGCTACCTGCATGGACGGAATTTCCAGCATTGAAAAGTGAGAAACCACGTAAGAACTTACAAAGCGCAGCTCTCCCCCGAGTCCTAGCTCACCAACAAAGACTGTGTCCCGAGGAACCGGCCTTTCTATATAGCTGCAAGCAAGACGAAGCTCGTGAGCCCAGCTAGTCGAGAGAAAGTACCTGCTGGCAATAGCGACGGCAACAGCAATATCTGTAGCGGGCTCTTCCAAACGAAAGCCTCCAACAACATTAACAAAAATATCCTAGAGCAGTATTTCAGCATAAAGAACTTTTGCTAGCACAAAGTACAAAGCGCACCTGTCTTGCAAGTCTCAAGCGCGCTTGTTTGAGTAAGACCTGGCATCACAGCGTCAAGCCTCACAAGAGTGGAGAATATTTATGGAGTGACTTACGGCAACAATCAGATTGAATCGAGATGGATCCACTCCAGTGAACGTTCTTTTACTTGGCAGTGAAGTGGCAGGAGAGCATAAGGCCTGCAAAACGCGCGTTCATGCCGGAGAAAACTTTAGCTTTTGATCGTTGTCAGATACGCTTCTCGGTTTTAAAGTCAGATCATGGCAAGTCAGAGAAACTGTTCTTGGCAGTCCAGCTCACTCGAAACTCGGGAAATTCCAAAGAATCTACCACCAGTCTCTCGTTGAACCTGGAAAGCTAGAGCAGCCAGACAACGCTCAGATTTGGCTAAAAGTATCATCACCCAACGTATATCCTAGAAGTCGCTTACCTGGATTTCAACCAGCAGCGGCCGAGATCCTTCCAAAGCCACCCCAACGGTGGCTGATGCATTACTGTCCTCCCCAGTTCTATCAGAGAGAAACATCAAACTGGGATTTTCTACCGCTCGTAAACCGTTGTCGACCATCTCAAACACGCCCACCTGTGATAAAGATAAAACAGCAAGATTCAATTTAAAATCAAATGCTGAAAGACAGTCACCTCTTTCGTAGAACCGAAGCGATTTTTTAGTGATCTTAGAAGCCGTTGAGACAAAAGACGGTCTCCCTGGAGACAATAAATATTTGGCAACCTCAAACGAACAAAGATAAAAACCATTTACCTCCAAGTGAAGACAAACATCAACCATGTGCTCCAATGTACGTGGCCCCGCTATTTCTCCAGATTTCGTTACATGCCCAATCTTTATATCGCCAATAGTTATGGTCTATCAGGTAGAAATTCCAGCATACATACCCACCAGAAAAATGGCAGTGTTTGTCTTCTTCGCTACCCGTAGCAAAGCCGAAGTGCATTCTCTGACCTGAAAAACTCTTACGTGGTAAGCAAGAGATTAAATAAAATGCTCGGGCTTTCTCGCGTACCTGAGAAATACTTCCTGCACTTCCAGAAGCATCTGGTAGATAGACTGTCTGGATAGAATCTAGCACAACAGCACGCGGCACAATTTCTTGAATCCACGTAAGAACAACCTACAAGACCCACCATGTCATAAAAGTTGAAAGCTCGACACAACTTACATCAAGATCTGTAGCAGACAGGATAAAGATCTCGTTGGACTCAATTTTTAGCCGCTCCGCTCTGTTTCCGATTTGCTCAACGCTCTACAATGAACAAAAAGTAAGACTTGATGTTTAAGGATCCAACTTTGAAATTTATTACCTCCTCCCCAGAAATGTAGAGGACCGGAGCTGCTTCATCGGCCCCAACTGAGACAATCTCCGCCAACTGGGATAGTTCTGTTAAAATACATGCATTCGAGCGAGACAAAAAAAATTCCAGCACAAACCTGCAAGAGCAACGTGCTTTTGCCAACTCCAGGATCACCACTGACGAGAATCAGAGAGCCTGCAAATATATGGAGGATGTAAGCATAAGAAAAGACTGAATGATGGAGTAATTCAATCAACCTGGAACAAGACCTCCTCCAAGAACTCTGGCTATCTCCGAGCCCGTCTTCCCAGGCCTGTGGAAGAATCCATTAAGAAACTTTCAAAACCAGCTAGAAAGGAGTGAAACTTACAGTGAAAGCCGCCAATGCAAGTGGTTTTTGGACGCTGTGATCTCGGCCAAGCGTTGAGGCTTGAGCTCGGCCTTGGCTCCCAAGTAAGGCCTATTCATCCTCTTTCCAAACTCTACAATCCCACCATTGGCACTGGCTCTATCGGCCAATCCCACTCCTTCCACTGCCCTCGCCCCAGCTCCTCCTCCTCCTCCACTGCTCCCACTACTCACTACATTTGTAAACTCCTTCAAGCTATTGGCCTGCCGACACTGGTTGCAAAATCCATGCCACTTCGCGTGAATCGTCCCACAATTCTCGCAAACGAAGCCGTGCTTGATCTTGGCCGATGTCGCGTAAGCTCGCCTCTCCGCGAATGCCTGGTTATCCCGCCAGGACAATCCAGCGTTCGCTTGCCGGACGAAGCTCCCGCGCCTCAAAAACCGGCGATTGACGCAAGAATCGAGCAATCCTACTCTACTCCAACCTACAAACGAAGAATGCCGCGAGGAAATCCGGTGCCGCCAGCAGTAGCGGAGAGAAGACGAGGACGCATTCTTCATCCCTCCGGTCGATTTTCTCCCCAAAAACCCTAAACGGTAAAATATCTCTCCCAGGAGAATATGCTTTTGATCGGACGGCTGACACATAAACCCTCCCCCATACCCTGAGGGTTTAGGGTTCTTCCGGTGCTGCGTGTTCTCTTCCAAGGCGGCTTGCAGCGCATCCCAGGCGGCAGCGCGTCCAGCTAGGGTTAGCTTTTCTCTGTCCAGCGCTAGGGTTCTACTGCGCATCCCTTGCAGGAAATCCCTTCCAATGCAGGCAATGCAGGCGCTCCGGCGAAGAGTCGGCCATGGCGGCAGCGGTAGCAGCGTCTATCTCCTCTCCGGCGCTGCCCGTGCCTTCCAGACGAGCGCCAGTCGCGAATTTCCACTGCCATCGTCGACTCCAGCGGTGCCAAAGAGGGTCAGCCAGCCTCCAACGGATAATCGCACCAGGCAGCCGCCGCCACCTCCGCCGCCAGTCGATTCCGAGAGCAGCAACGCCGAGGCCAAGCCGCCGGGACGAGCATCGTCCATGGCTCCGGTGGCGCCGATCGAGAAGCAATCGACTTGCGCAAAGCCTCCCACCATGTCCCCGGGATTCACTGGAGCTCTGGGACTTAACTTTCCGGGGACACAGATTCCTGGGCTTCCAGGAACTCCGCGGCCAAAGCCAGGAACTCCAAGGCCCTACGATCCGACCAAGCAGAAGTCCAAAGTCATGGAGTGGCTCACTCCTCCTCCAGCGCCAACCGAGCTCCTCCAGCGCGTCCACTATAAGATGTCTGAGACTTGCTTCACTACCATTTACTTTGGAGATCTCTCGAAGTGGCATGTCGATGGCAAGTATGATGCTGTGGTACGTACCATTCTTTTTTCTCTCCTTCTCCTTTTGATGGTTTTATGTGGTTTTGTTATAGATTGCTCCGGGCAACAAGAGGCTCAACACCGGACCTGCTGTGAATGCCGGTATGAAAGCGAAAGCTTTGTTTTCCTCTCGTAACTTGGTTTCTTCTTGGTCCAGTTTTGTTTAAAGCTGCTGGATCGAGACTTTTGGACGCTACTCAGAGGCTGCCCGATGTTGCTCCGCAAGGCATCAAGGCCGAGGTTGGAGATGCCATCAGCACCAGGTCTGCTAGTTTTTCTTTTCAAGCGAACTTGACAGGCATAGATGTCTTGCAGAGCTTTCAACTTGCCTGTAGCTCGTGTCATCCACACTGTTGGACCAGTCTATAAGAAAGACGAGACGACCAACGTGAGAGAGTCGGATCCTTACCTTGAGAAAGCCTACAAGTAACTATCTCTCCTCTTCAATATTATCTTGCTGGATGTGACCAAATGTCTTTGTTTTCAGGGCTGCTCTTCTCGTCGCCAGGAGAGAAAACTTGAAGTACTTGGCGTTTCCTCCACTTTCGTGCCGAATCTATGGGTATGATTATAGAGTTTCAAGGCGTTTTTAGCTTAAGAAAACTTGCTACTGCAGATACCCCTACTCGGAAGGAGCAGAGGTAGCTTTGAGAACGTTGAAGGCAAACTGTGAAGGTTTCCTACAGGTAGATATCTCTTTTATACTCCTTATGAGAAGAAGCTGGCTTATCTTATGCCTATCACAGATCGATATAGTCATCCGGAACATAGAGGGATACGAAGCCTTCATCGACGAAGCAAACAAGGTGCTACACATCATCAAAGAAAAGAAGATTATCATGGCTCCTTCGGCGACTACTCCAGCTCCAGCACCCAGTCCCGAGCCTGCTCCTGCTGTCAACCGTGCAATCGCCCCCGGTGGTGTCACTCCAGCAGTGAAGTCCTTCATTCCCACAAGTGGTCCATCAGCAGTCTCGTCGGCAGAGGCACCAGAACCGGAAACCAGCGAGCCTCTGCCTGCTTGACGACGACGAGAAGAGATCTCACAGGAGCAGCGAAGACAAAGTCGCCAAGCTACGAACGAATAGGTACACACAACTTGTATTTTCTTTCATCTTCTAGCCACTTTAGGATGACGTTGGAAGCCGATGTGAATTCCTTCACTCTTTTAACTCGGGAGAGCTTCTTAGCACGAACAGTTTTATTGCGTTGGATGAAGAAAGGAAAGTTTTCGACTTAGCTTGAAACGCTCGCGGGTTGCTTGAAATCGAAGAAGGGGAACTGCTTTGCGTTGTTCCAATTCTCCAGGTGGAGCTCCGAAGTGGCGCCTTGGTCGGCAAACCACACCAAGTTTCCATCGTCCACTCTAACCATTTGAGCTGGTAACGAGCCTGGGAGTGCTGGTCTTTCGAGAACTCTGTGAAGAACATGAGCTTTTCCAGAGCCCAAGGCCACAAACGCAACCTGTAGAGAAGAAGAAAAAAAATGAAATCTGGGAGATCTCCTCGTCACCACTTACATGCTCGGCAGCGTTGATGCATGGAAGTGTCATTGTGATTCGTTTCGATGGAGGCTTTGGAGAGTTGGATATTGGAAGCACCCATAGCTTTTCTTCAGCTAGCGAGGGACGATTTGGAAATAGCGAGGCGACATGGCCATCTGGACCAAGTCCCAAGAGTACCTGTGAAATACCATCTTGAATTTAGCTGAGAAGGAGAGCAGCGAACGAGCGAACTTACAAAGTCGAAGCGTGGGAACTTCTTGGTGGTTTTCGTTGCGATCACTTTCTTCCTCACAAGCTCCCTGTCCAGGCCATTTCCATCGAAGAACTAAAGAACAAAAGATAGAGAAACAACCTTAGCTTTGATTCGTATGCATGGGCCGCAGCCTTTTCATCGTGGAAATTCTGGATTGCATGAATTTGTTCGTGAGGAATTGGCACCTTGGACAAAAACTCGTCCTGTAGAAAAATAAAATCACAGAGAAAAAATAAAAAATTAACGTGCAAAAAAGCACACAATTCATTCACCTTGGCGAGCTTGTAATTACTATCTTCGTGGTTCAAAGGCACCACTCGTTCGTCCACCCAGAAAACATTCCATTTGTCCCAAGCAATGCTGTGAAAAACGGGGCCTTCCGCGAGAAATCGCAAAGCCTGGATGCAAGAAAATCATTCACAACGAAATGAAAAACGAAAAACGAAGAAGATGAAGAGGGAACTTTCAGTTACCTTCACTATGGAACCACCCGAGAGCACGAAAGTGAACTTACCTCGCTGCTTGATAGCCTCATTGGAAACTTGAACGATATACTCGGCCAGCGCCGAAGAAACTTCTTCCACATCGTCAAATCGAAAAAACGTTGCTTGCGACGGCCCATCTGGATACTGAAAGAGATGCCGGGGCGACTGATCGATTTTCTCGTCGTCTTTTTCTTCCTTCTTCTTTTGCATCAAAACTGCCGAGTTTCCGTTGGTAGCAGCAGCAGCTCTGGAACATCTTAAAAGAGTAGCGCTCCTGTTCTTACAGTGATTATGGAGCGCTGGAAGAAGGTCCATCATTGCCGCTCCCAAACTTTGATGAGAGCCCTGCGAGAGAAAGAAAAAGGCAATAGTTGATTCGATCGGAGAAGCTCCACCTACATTGAGATTTGTGGACGGTAACCGAGCTGATAGGATCGAAATGCGTGAAGAAGCCATGCTTGAATCGGTCGATAAGTCTTACCGCTCGGCGAGACCTAGACACTGGCCCTAACAATCATTGAGTTTGAATTTTGATTGTATATTCCAATCAGCATGAAAAGTGGTGTAGTTTTCTTTGTTTTTCTTTTGCGGGTTATATTGCTCTTCTTTGAGAAGGGAGCAATGTTTTCAGCAGTGATGTTAGTGATTCTCTGAATTATACTCTTGCTTATGAATCTCCTCTAGGAGAGAAGATCAGCGCAAGGAGGATCAATATTTTAGGAGGAACAAGTGCAACAACAAGATTAACAAGAAGATGTAAAACAGGATATAAATACATAAAGCAAGTCTTTTGACAGCATAAGTGCTGAATCTGGTGGTGTCAAGTTTTTCGTTCTTGTTTTGATTGTTGGTATCAATTTATACTTTCATTGACTCAAGTTAAGCTCACTTGAAAACTTTCCCATGAGGCTGTGCTAAGGGAGCTATGAAACCTCTCATAACTCTGTGAGGCAAAGCATGCCAATGTCAACGGTTCATTGCATACAAAACAAAGAACAAGTGATTTTTGTTTCTAGAGATCCAAGAAAGAAAAGGTGCCAGGGGGAGAGGAAGGCCTATAGAGCCTGCAACAAGGAGAATTCCTGACTCAAATCAATTCTCTCACAATGCAGTTGGATGTGTCAAAGAAAAATCCTCCTCTTTTTTTCGTGGATAATCCAGAATAAAAGCAAAGAAAGAGCGGATGATAATGTGAGATTTGTCAGACATGTTCTGGATTAAGAAGATAGATAATGAAAAAAAAATACAAGAGAGATGATAATCTACTCTTCTTAAACTCAATTTTTCTTTGAGCAAGGATTTATATCGTGAGAAAAAAATGAAAAGAATAAATATAGAATATTACACCAAGTTTAAGAAATTTTATAAATTATAAATATGTTTGTAATTTATAAACATCATGATGATAGTATTTTCTAATATCCTAAGATATATCTGGAATATCCACTACCACTTACAAGTTTGCTTAAGCGAATCAATAAATAAGTAGTGAGCTTTTGTGATCCATATGTCTACTTTACCTCATCTGTTAAAACAGATATAATAAAATTCATGTATTTAAGGTTAATAGACAATGTGTTTAGGTGAGCCTCATTAGGGATATAAAATTAGCTCCCTGGCAATATATTAATATAAACACATCTATTATAGTCACTGTATATAACAATTTTATTTTATATAGCTTTATTATGATTAATGATCAGCCTCAAAGTCTTTTACAAGACCCCCAAAGAATTTAGCATTTAATTTGGCAGTAAAGAACAATTACAAAACATTGTCATTGTGCATAGTAAATGAAGGTTATAATTACACTAAGAAAATGGAGATATAAGAACATGGCTACCATAACCTCCTTGTTTTTGTGCAGCCAAAGTGATAAAGAATTAAAGACTTATTAACAATTAATTATAAGATTTAGTCTAGATTCCTTCAGGAAAACATGATATCCGGGTATCTGTGGTTAGATTCTCAGTTTGAACCTTTTCTTCTTTAGACCAAAGATAATTCAACTTGCAGGCCTGGAAAAAAAACGTTGTTAAGATCATAGGTGATTTTTTTCCTCAAAAGCTCGTGGATGTTTTGGACATCTTTGTTTGCTCATGTGAGCCTCTTCCTCATCCTCATAATCTCACGATGCTCACGACCTAGTGCGGATTTATCTAAGGGTGGCGGTAGAGCTCTTCTGGCAGTAGTGTTCTTCCCTGATCAAGCGTGCTTCCCCTCCTTGCTTGGAGCCACTCTGGGAGTGTAAAGTCCACCAGTTCCAGATGGGTCCAGCTTTGCTTTCCTCAGCCAAGGTGGGTATCTTGTAGCCCAAGAACAGTCCAAAACTTAAGATTGGAAAAGCGTTGCAAGAATATGGTTCAGTAAAAAAACTGCTACCATGATATAGAAGAATGCCCTGCCTCCCAATTCTGACGATAGACGCCATTCATTTCATAGATCTGAGAAGGAAAGCTGCTCAAAATCAAAATCAGTAGGAAAGCTTCCACTCAAAAACAAGAAAAAAAAAAAATGCAACAAATATAGCCTAAGAGCCTTGGTTTTATACCCTTGCTCTTTTAAATAGACTGATAAGCAGATTGTGAGTGATTTCAATTAGGGTTCAATCAGTTCAATAACTCTAAAACCTACAACAATATCCCCCAGTTGCGACCAGCTGCGCCGGCCCTCCACGGTACACGGCACGCTCGCTTGCGAGGTGGAGGCGAGAGACCGACCTCCCCTCCGTGACGACCAGCCGCTTGAGTGCGAGGTCCGATACGATGCTCCACGAGTCCCCGGAGCGTGATCAAGCTCGCCGCTGTGCACGATGCAAGATGCGGCGGAGATCCAGCAATTCCTGGGGCGAGCCCCGGGGAGAAATCCTGGTGGGCGGCGGCGGCAAGGATCTGAACGCACTAGGCCGAAAGGTGGTGCTGAACGCTGGCCTTCTCGTCTCAAGATGATTCCTTCGTCAGAGACTCGGGGATATGTAATGGAACTAGAAACTGGATCTTCTTAGTTCAATCTTTTATCTAGCGGGGAATCCGGAATATCAAGGTAGATTCTGCGTATTCTACGATGCAGCACACTAACACTCAGGCCAGTCTATTTCGGACGTGCCTTGTGCTGTGCGCACAAAGTCGGAGACGTGTTCCTTGGGCGGTACATTGCTGCGTAGAATATACCTGAGCTTGTCGAGCGGCTCACACTTCGATAGCAGGGTGACTGTGTGAGCCACCTGACGAAGCCAGTCCTTGTCTTGGAGGTCGTTTCCCAGACCTCTCGGTATCTGGAGACGGCGAAGAAGAAACTTGCCTGAGTTGAAGCCCTCCGGCAGCACGGCAAACCAGCCAGAGACATCCTCGTCATCAAGCAACTCTCTGTACAACACAAGCACGGTTTAGCCAATGCCAGTTTGTGTGATTTTTGTTTACCCGTTTGCATCTATAGCCAAACGCCTCAGAAACTTCTCCACAGGTGACGGAATGCGCGCTGCAAAACCCAGGGGAGACTCTAGTGCCAATTTACACTCTTGAGAAAGAGTGGAGGTTGATTGCTCATCCCGAAGCTTGGCATCTGCGATTGCAGTGAGCGGTACCTGGCGGAAAGAGAAATGAATGGAAGGAATGACTTACATGTCAGATGCGGGAAGTTGTAGTAGACTGGGAGCTTCGACTTCGCCAACCATAGCCGGGCATGCTCAGTGCAGTCGAGGATTGCCATGATGTTGGAAATGAGCACGGAGTTTGGAGGCGGCTCCATGACCAGGGCCTCCAAGAGCTGGTTGTCCTTGGCAGCCTTGAGGAGTTCCACGGCTTGGCCGACAGTGAGAAAACCATACCTGGACCATTCTTCGGCGTCATTGGGATACGGTAATCCACAAGTCGCTCCAATGTCCCTGCCCCAAATGTACTCCCTTGACGCATTTTGAGTATGGAGCCTGTATGACGCGCTCCAATTGCGGC